AAGAAGACAGTCCTTTGACAGACACGAAAACAGATATCCAGAGTGACAGTCTACCAGCTCAGACAACATCAGCAGCCTGCACCTCTGACCAGGTAAGTCTACGGGCATACTTGGGCTTGGGACAGAAATTGAGGTGGATTTTTAATAATTAAGTTGAACTATGCAAGGATGTAGAGGTGGTAATTTTGATCAGTGTGATTTAAAAGGAGATATATTCTTGAGGAAAGCAAACTATGGAACCAGTTTAATAGGAAGAGTTTCAGCCAGGGATTAACACTGTAGCAGTGGACTGTTGGAGTGTTGTAGCTACAGTACCATGCCACTCTTTACAGAAGGGGTCACAGTTCAAGACACTGATGATGTATGTTTGAACGAAACACTAAGTTTATATTCACTTTTTCACTCTGTTACAGTTTTTGAGCACTTACAAATTCCCTCAGACTTGTTTTTACTCTTGTGTTGCAATATCAGAGGTGATTCTTTTTTTTTATGGCATTTTCATGCCCCTCAGATATAAAGTGCAGGTGATTTTCGTTCCTTTTGATGCTCTGACATTTCCTAATTTCTTTCCTTGCATCCATGGCAAGTGCAAAAAACTGCTTGTTAATAATCACTCACTAGTAACGTTTTTCATTTTTATTAACCAGGCCCCAAGGGGAACCAAACCAGTTCAACATGTGTAATGAGAGTTTAAGCACTCTGCTAATTATAATGTGTGCCTGAACTCTGATTAAAAGTTTAGTACACTCAGATTTTTTAAAAAGCAAATAACTAAATAAAAATTGTATTTTTTGGGGCTTGCCTGTTTTGCATGTTATTTTGGCATTAATACGTGTCAAATATCAGTTTGCAAACAATGTAATAAAAAAAAAAAATATATATATATATAATTGGGTTAATAAAGCCGCATACAAACATGGTCTCTTTTTTGCTTTCTTGAGTAAGGCAGCTCCAAAATGCAGGTGTTTCAGCCTAGCTCAGTGCTTTCTGTGGTGGTGGGGCAGCCAGCGTAGGTGTTGGTAATGTTCTCTAGTTGTGCCGTGATTGGCTCAATGTTCTGTCACTCATGGGGACACTAGTCACTGCCAAGTCTAAGTGTAGACCTCGAAAATTCAAGCCCCTTGGGTGCTGCCATAGAGTTACATTAGAAGTGCCCATCCAAGAATGATATCAAATCACGTTTTATCTACAGTAGCTTTGATTGGACTGATCATGTCAACATCATATTTTTAAAATCTTAGCTAGCAGTCATCATCATGAATCAAGTCGACAATCTACTGGCAAATCATTTTTAATCCTTGTCATATGAAGAGAAATAATGAAGAGAAATTATAGATAAAACGAATCGGTGCTCATCGGCCATTGGACATAAACATTACGCAACAAGTTGGAAATCGCAAATTCAACAATAAGTAGTTTGGAAGGAATCAGTGGCTAACTGCAAGCATTGCAAAGCAATCACTAGCCTGCTATTCAGTGGAGTGGCTGTGTGGTCCCAAATCTGGGATTAAGGGTCTCTTTTCCAAGTTTAAAATGATAAACATTCAACAATGGCCATGCTGTCAATGAAGCATGATTTGTGCCGCACTCAAAACAAGTGTTAAATCGGAACTGTGAAAACGTGAGTTCAAGACAACTGGGAACTCGGGAGAAAACGAGGTCCGACTGTGAAAATACGTTTTGAACGATCATCCAACTCGGAATTGTAAATCCAGAACTCTGGCCTCTTTTTAGAGCTATGACCTGAAGATCACTGACGTCATCATGATTCAACCTTGTTTTTTTCCGAGTTCTCAGTTGTCTTGAAAGAACCATTAAATCCAGAGAATGCCAGTCTTTGATGACAAAATTTGCACACGAAGGACCGCCATCCCACCTTCCTGTTCAAGTGAGCACAGCACAACAAGGTGAGTCCAAAAATGTATTGTATGCTGCTGCATAAATGATGTAATATGCCAGGGAGATATGTATACTGTAGCTAAGAAAGTAATACTAAGTGTATGTTGTGGAGTAAGCTGTTAGTAGCCCATGTGCCTCACCCTAATAATTTGGTCTATTTTCCCGTCTTAATTTCGCCTACTGTATAACCTGTTTTAGAGAATTGTAACCATCGAATATTGTAAGAGCTTTCATTATCTGCTCATATGCCCCCTTTATTTATCCTACGGTTCTGACTTGGTGTACAGGGAGAACACTGTAAGAACGGCCCATGTTCTGAATTCTGTCGCTGTACATTTCAAAAGTTCTAAACAAATAGTTATATTGACCATGTCCGTCCTAGCTCGCTCATTAATGTCTTAATAGAAATTACGGATGACCTCTTATTCGCTTGTCGTCCCCTTATGCCAGTTTGTACATCTCAATTGTCAGTAGCAACCAAATTAGTTTAAGCAAGTCAGCTATATCAGCTATGTTTTTTTTAAAGGCAATAAATGAGGCTGAATGAACTGTTTCGCTGCCAGACAAGGCTCCGCTTATAGCCAGGTGTAGCAGTGGTAAGATGTTGGGACTGCTGTTGGGACTCTGCTGTTGGGACAGCTTTATGTAGGCCCAAACAGTTTGTGGTCACCATTATAGTGCAATTAATGTGTTGTGTTGTGTAGTGGCTTTGCTGGCATGCATCCCACATTTAATTTTTTTTGTTTGCCCCACCAATATTGACATGCTAAAATCGCCACTGATTCATTCTAATGAACTATTTCATTTTCCATAGAAGATGAAAGGCCCCCATTTTACAGTATTTAGTCAATTAACTTCCCTGTAATAACTCAACAATTATGTTACACTTAGTCTTGGAAACGATAAGCCATATGATCTGCCCAAACCCCTCAAGCACTAAATAGTAATAAAAACCGAGTGGTGTAAAGTACTTAAGTAAAAATACTTTCAAGTACTACTTAAGTAGTTTTTGGGGCATGTGTACTTTACTTTACTATTTATATTTTTGACAACTTTTACTTTAACTCCACTACATACCTAAAGAAAATTATGTATTTTTACACCATACATTTTCCCTGACATCCAAAAGTACTAGCAGGACAGGAAAATGGTCCAATTCATGCACTTATCAAGAGAACATCCCTGGTCATTCCAACTGCCTTTGATATGTCGGACTCACTAATGCTTCGTTTTTAAATGATGTCTGAGTGTTGGAGTGTGCCCCTGGCTATCGGTAAATAGAAAAAATACAAGAAAATCGTGCAGTCTGGTTTGCTTAATATAAGGAATTTGAAATAATTTTTACTTTTACTTTTGATACTTAAGTATTTTTAAAACCAAATAATTTTTAGACTTTTACTCAAGTTGTATTTTACTGGGTGACTTTCATTTTTACTTGAGTCATTTTCTATGAAGGTATCTTTACTTTTACTCAAGTTCGACAAGTGGTTATCTTTTCCACCACTGTAAAAAAGTATTTCCCATTTTCTCAAAGTATAGGATGTGATATCTGAAAGGGCAGGTATTTTAACAAGCCATGTCAGTCAGCAATAAAATGTTGTTTTATGTGATATTGATTTGCTTAGATAATTGGCGTGAAAACATCTCATGGTCTTGCATGCCTAGTCCATCGCCCAAAGACAAAAGCACCTGAACACACACCTAGGGGTAAATATCTCTTCCATGATAATCTCTCTCAACTCTAGTAATCTTGGGAGGAAAAGCTCCTAGGCTCAAACAACTGCACTATACTGTCATTTGTACACCTTAGTGTCAATGGCAACAGTACAAGATACAGCACAAGTCATACATAAGGAGGGTACATTCTGGTTATAGTGCCCAGAGGCACAGCACTTCTCAAAAGTCTCAATATTGGATGTATGAACAGATGTTCATGTAATCCCTCCCACTACGTGAGCACGGCCAGGGCAGCATTATGAGCTGTTGCGGTTAAACCAGCACGTCAGAGGATACAATGCCACCCCCACCCCAGGTGATGTCTTACTCACGCCATGGATATGGGCTGGGTTATTCATTATCCACCTTTTATCTAATATGCCGTGAGGGCAGGGACTTTCTTTTTACAATTAACCTCAAATCAATCTCAGTGCCTAAAATACTTAATCCTGTCAGTGTCCACCAGCACATGAGCAACCAACCAAAAACCCTAGGCCTAGGGCCTCTGTCTATAAGTGCTGATTCAGCTGTCATTGATACAGTATTGCATGACGTTATTACTGCAATTACTTTAAATGGGACAATGCTACTTACTTCAGCCTAGTTTATCATCTCTTAATCCAGTGTTTATGATGGATTTACTGGATGCCAATATACTCACATAGTTTCATATTATTTCATGCGTTAGTTTCAGTTACCCAGTCTTGACATTACATTATGTTTGTTACCTCAGGGTAAGATAAGAGGGTCAGGCCCCCCCGTAGAATTATGTTCTCACTGAACTAACTGTCACTCTGGTGTCCAACTGAACTGTCATTTTCCACCTGCAGGGTTTCATCCTATAGGGTTACTAATAACATGACAAAAAGTCAGCCCTTTACACACCATACTCAAATGGGCTACTCTACATAATGAAATGTTGTTTTTATGAAAAGAGATTGTTTAATTCAACATTTAGAAGGAAGTACCAACAGACCAAACAAAATGTATAAAATGTCATATTTGCTTTAGGATTACTACTGTTTAAATAGTTGGGCATGGTTTCAATGCAGCATAAAGTCAGTACTGTCTGAGAGAAAAGCTTGCCATGTGAATTGAAGGAAAATAAGACAGTCAAACAAAGTGACTAGAAAAGTGTAAATAGAAAGTGTCACTTGTGGATGACAGTTTCTGTTCTTCATCAGACATGATACAAAAATTTAAACGTTTGTTCCTACACCTCTCATTTACTATGTCAATATATGAACAGTTTGTCATCGAGTTCGCTATTGTTTCCAATTGAGATTGAGATTCCGAAATTATATTTTGGTGTATCCAGTATAAATCCCTTTATACAACATGACTGATGAAAGTCTTCCTTTGTTTTCTCCAGCACTGTTGAAGCTATGGGGAGTCCAGGCTGTGACTGTGTGGGAAGCACAGTGCACCTACCCCTGATGAGTTTCAGTGACTACCCCCACAGTGAGTCTGCCCTACAGGCCTGGGAGGAGGAGGAGGACACCAAGCCGCCCCGGGGATTGATAAGTGTGCCTAAACACACCGTTCCTGAACGCAGCCTGCAAGGGGTCTTCCTGCCCTGCTTCGACATGCTCCTCACTGAAAACAGCTCGTGGCTGTTGAAGAAGTCTGAAGCAGCGCCCCCTGTGCCCCCCTGTAAGGCCCTGGAGCAGTGCCCTGTCATCAACAGCCAGGGCCTGGGGGTCCCCTCTGGGCTGGAGGGACAGGTGGAGGAACGCTGTCTGGAGCAGGTTCAGAGCATGGTGTTGGGAGAGGTACTGAAGGACATACAGACTGCCTGCAAGCTGCTCAACATTACCCCAGGTAGGAAAACTGTTAAATTACCAAGCTATTGTGTGCCTATAATTTGTTACCATACTGTTACCATGTTATTACCACCTTATCCTGTGCTGTAAACTGTGCTACCATTTCATATGTTAAGTTCTCCAAAAGGTATAGACCTCATGCCTCTATCAGTCTCAGGGTCTATCATGTTCACTACAGTTGAGCATGTGACCTGTCACTGTCAGTAGATTGGCAGAGGATAAGGATAAAAGAGCACAGAGAAAAGAGCACCTTTCATGCGCTACTCTAACAGTTGAAATACCCTGTCATGCACTGTTGGATCTTACTTATAGCAAAGCAAACAAAACAGTAAAGGTCACCATTTAGGTTGCTCTTTCTTTATGCGACACTCCGACTTTATGCTAATGCCACTGACGATAGGCTAAGCCCAATGAAAGGAAGTGTCTGGGGCCTCCCCGCCCTGTGCAAATGACTCTGTTGACAATTCATCATTTCACACACTCACCAACTCACTACCTGTCATAAGGAACACAAATATGAGTTCAGAAATTGCTTACAGCACAATGCACACAAACCTCATCTCATTCTCCTCAAAGGCTCCTTAAAGATGCACTAGCTCACATTTGAATAGGTAACCTATGCATTTGCATGAGTGCCAACCAATGATTTATATATAGACTAAATTACTAACAGGGGGTGCTGTTTTGAAGCCACGCGCCTCCATCTTGGCACTCCCCCACTGTTGTAATCGTTTTTTTTTTTTTTTTTACATTTTAGTCATTTAGTAGACGCTCTTATCCAGAGCGACTTACAGTTAGTGAGTGCATACATTTTCAGAAGCTATAGAAATGCATTTATTAATGTCTACATTTGTTTTTGGCACATTTATTCTATTACAGACACCTTAATGCATACTTTTAATGTCACAGTTTCGGCCGAGGCTGCTCCTCCTCCTTGTTCGGGCAGGTTTCGGCGGTCGTCGTCCCCGGAGTACTAGCTGCCACCGATCTATGTTTCATGTTCGTTTGGTTTTGTCTTGATGTTGTACACCTGTGTCTAGTTAGTCCTCATTAGTGTCCTATTTAGTTCTCGTTGTGTGTGTATGGTGTTGTGTGTGATTGCTCTTCTGTTTTGGTGTTCTGAGCTACGTACTTCCCTCCGTTGTTTGGAGAGGTTTTCGCACATGTTAGTGCGCCTTTTGTTTGACGCCTGTGTGCGCCTTTATTTCGCCTCCGGGCTTATTGTGCTCGTGTACTACGTGAATAATTCACTAAAGTCTTTTGGACTTAGCTTCTGCGTCCTGCGCTTGATTCCTGCACCACACCCACCTTCAGCACCCCTGACATTTAAATTATATTATGTGAGCTAAACATCAAAATAAAACATGAATATATATACATATACATATATATAAACATTTTCCTTAAAGTATATATATTTTTAAGTTAAAATGTTACTGTTACTTAAATACATGTTATTTTGTCCTTGAAACATTTAATTGACTGCTCCTTCGGGGGAGTGCCAATATGGCCGACCAGTGGCTTCAAAGCCTCGCACTGGTCAATACATAACATCAGCAATACAGGGTTTATATACATCATTGGTGCCAACAGTGCCATTGTATATAACTGTATATACACTGCTCAAAAAAATAAAGGGAACACTTAAACAACACAATGTAACTCCAAGTCAATCACACTTCTGTGAAATCAAACTGTCCACTTAGGAAGCAACACTGATTGACAATAAATGTCACATGCTGTTGTGCAAATAGAATAGACAACAGGTGGAAATTATAGGCAATTAGCAAGACACCCCCAATAAAGGACTGGTTTTGCAGGTGGTGACCACAGACCACTTCTCAGTTCCTATGCTTCCTGGCTGATGTTTTGGTCACTTTTGAATGCTGGCGGTGCTTTCACTCTAGTGGTAGCATGAGACGGAGTCTAAAACCCACACAAGTGGCTCAGGTAGTGCAGCTCATCCAGGATGGCACATCAATGCGAGCTGTGGCAAGAAGGTTTGCTGTGTCTGTCAGCGTAGTGTCCAGAGCATGGAGGCGCTACCAGGAGACAGGCCAGTACATCAGGAGACGTGGAGGAGGCTGGAGGAGGGCAACAACCCAGCAGCAGGACTGCTACCTCCGCCTTTGTGCAAGGAGGAGCAGGAGGAGCACTGCCAGAGCCCTGCAAAATGACCTCCAGCAGGCCACAAATGTGCATGTGTCTGCTCAAACGGTCAGAAACAGACTCCATGAGGGTGGTATGAGGGCCCGACGTCCACAGGTGGGGGTTGTGCTTACAGCCCAACACCGTGCAGGACGTTTGGCATTTGCCAGAGAACACCAAGATTGGCAAATTCGCCACTGGCGCCCTGTGCTCTTCACAGATGAAAGCAGGTTCACACTGAGCACATGTGACAGACGTGACAGAGTCTGGAGACGCCGTGGAGAATGTTCTGCTGCCTGCAACATCCTCCAGCATGACCGGTTTGGCGGTGGGTCAGTCATGGTGTGGGGTGGCATTTCTTTGGGGGGCCGCACAGCCCTCCATGTGCTCGCCAGAGGTAGCCTGACTGCCATTAGGTACCGAGATGAGATCCTCAGACCCCTTGTGAGACCATATGCTGGTGCGGTTGGCCCTGGGTTCCTCTTAATGCAAGACAATGCTAGACCTCATGTGGCTGGAGTGTGTCAGCAGTTCCTGCAAGAGGAAGGCATTGATGCTATGGACTGGCCCGCCCGTTCCCCAGACCTGAATCCAATTGAGCACATCTGGGACATCATGTCTCGCTCCATCCACCAACGCCACGTTGCACCACAGACTGTCCAGGAGTTGGCGGATGCTTTAGTCCAGGTCTGGTAGGAAATCCCTCAGGAGACCATCCGCCACCTCATCAGGAGCATGCCCAGGCGTTGTAGGGAGGTCATACAGGCACGTGGAGGCCACACACACTACTGAGCCTCATTTTGACTTGTTTTAAGGACATTACATCAAAGTTGGATCAGCCTGTAGTGTGGTTTTCCACTTTAATTTTGAGGGTGACTCCAAATCCAGACCTCCATGGGTTGATACATTTGATTTCCATTGATAATTTTTGTGTGATTTTGTTGTCAGCACATTCAACTATGTAAAGAAAAAAGTATTTAATAAGATTATTTCATTCATTCAGATCTAGGATGTGTTATTTTAGTGTTCCCTTTATTTTTTTGAGCAGTGTATGACTTGCTGTGGATAAATGTTTAACATTGATTGGTCCATCATGAACACCTCATCTCCTCTGCAGACCCCATGGAGTGGAACTGTGGGAACGTCCAGAAGTGGCTGCTGTGGACGGAGCACCTGTACAGGCTACCCCAGGTGGGCAAGGTGTTCCAGGAGCTCAGTGGAAAGGACCTGTGCTCCATGACAGAGGAGGACTTCAGGCAGCGCTCGATGCAGTGTGGAGACCTGCTGTACGCTCATCTGGACATCTGGAGATCAGGTAGGACAACTGACAACCTTGAACGGGTCCATTATCTCGTACTGTGGTGTATATATAACATGGCATGAATTTCATCTACGGTATGGGTCATTCCATTGTAAAAGTATTGAATGTGTTATAGCCACAAGCCAAAGGAATACCTGGCTCATTCACTATACAGATTGTGCTGTAGTTTTCAGGTATTTTCAGGTGTTGAGATAACAAATGTTTAATTCTGTTCTATGTTGTTTTTGTCACAGCTGCATGCATGAAGGAGCCCTGCACACCAGGAGATAACAGGTTACATGGTGCTGAGGAGGCTGACTCCTCCTGCTCAGGCCAGCCCATCCACCTGTGGCAGTTTCTAAGAGAGCTGCTCCTCAAGCCGCACAACTATGGACACTGCATCCGCTGGCTCAACAAGGAGAAAGGTGAGTAGGCAGGGAGAAGCCATGAGGGAGGAGTGCAAGCGGGTGTACGGTGTACATTTTAGGGCAACCCTCCTAGGTTTGAGGCAGAAGGTGTCCTAAAATGAACACCGTACGGGTGAGAAAAGTTGGCCATGGGAGCTGACATGGGTTATTAAACATTGGGGCATATTGTGCACTGGTTTCTGAAAAAGGTGAAATGTTCCATCTCTCTAAGCTAGTTTTTCGTATAATCATCAGGAATCTTCAAAATAGAAGACTCGGCTTATGTGTCCAGATTATGGGGCATCAGGAAGAACCGTCCAGCTATGAACTATGACAAGTTGAGTCGCTCTATCCGACAGTACTACAAGAAGGGCATCATCCGCAAGCCTGATGTGTCCCAGAGACTGGTCTACCAGTTTGTCCACCCTGTATGAAGCTGTGGGGCAGCCAGCCAGAAGAGATTAGTGTTGATGATGACTGGAGACAACTATCTAGCCAAACAGGTTTTGGCAAAGGGGGGGGGGGGGGGGGGGGGGGGGGGGGGGGGGGGGGGGGGGCGGGTTCTCAGAAAATAGTAATGTGCTCTGTTAAGCTCTCTATGCATACAGTTGTTCAAGTTTTGACATAACGGTTGTTTTAGCTCCAGCAACGCACTGTATAGACTGCCTCCTGCATTGTGCACTCCTTCCTAATTCCAATATTATTATGTAAACTGATTGGATATTGGGTTTTATTGTCATTTTTTATTGCCACATTGCATTAGATATGCAATGTTTTACATTTCCAATATTTCCAATACTAATTGTCCAATATTTCATTTTCACAAAGGTCAATGCCATATGGATGTATTATTTTTCTCTGATTGTGAATTCACATTACTGTAACCACCAGTGTAAGCTACAGTTGACTTTTTTAAAGGTGGTTGCTCTTTCATTTACATTACACAATGTCCCTCGGATATAAAAGCATCCGTACAATCCATGGCATTTTTTTTTACATGCAGGGTGAATATTGGAGTGTATGTGTGCAATGTGTTCACTACTGATCTGTAGTGGTATTCCCATGTTTGGGCTCTTCATGAGTCACAAGTAACCACAGCTGTTAACCACATAGGGCCACTTATGATCTGATGTTTACGTTTGTAATTTCATTTAAGTATAGATACATTATTTGACTCCGGTGCCCGTTCACTGGCGGAATAATAAAGTCTAATAGGAATTTGTGAATACAGTAAACTACTGTAATATAGGCATTTCAATACCATTGCCACATTTCAAGTGCTAGGATCCATATGTAGAGACAAACATCAGTGATAGAAGCCCTGTTTAGACCTGGTTCTAACATGCAGCCTTTGTCCTGATCTTGTCCACATTCTGATTGTGCCCACATTTCTAGACAGGTGTAGACGATTAAAAGACGCATTGCGATCAGATCTTATAAGTGTAAACAGACAAGATCAAGTCAAGATCAGGACGAAGGACGCATGTTAACGGCAAGTATAAACAGGGCTAGAGATTAGTGACTGGATACAGACTGTACACATGTTAGAAGATAATATTGAATATTTATAATGAGTGTGAGCAAGATGTCTTTTGTCAATATTTGGGTATAATACCCTAAAGCATACTATATATCCTTCTATGTGTTTACATACTGAATGTGTCTAAAATAAAATGACAGAATAATGTGTATTTTTCTGCTTTCTCATCAAGCACCCTGAGACAACAATCATAGCATATCACAATGCACAGTCAAAATCCATTCAAGAAACACACAAATGACACAAAACGTTTTGTTTGTATTCTCAACAAACTTGTTTTCCCCTTTCAAACCAATATCGCAATATTGACACCATCACAACAACTTTGATTCAAGATTTGCATTACTATCATCATAATCAATCATCTTTATGCATATTTAAATGAACCTTTTGTTACATTAAGATGAACAGGCACTACACCAGTTAGGAGATCAAATTACATCACTAACTATAAACATACATACACTGCTAATACAGGGTTTTCACGACATGAGCCGTTGCCCCCTTGTGTGCATAAGGAAGAGAAAAATCAACATAAAAAAGCATTTACATATACACCGTTTTTACTGCCTCAACTTAGTTAGGTTTCCTTTCCAACTCAACACAGTTGTACAGTTACAATAGAATATAATCTTTAAATTACATCATCATATACAAATTTGACAGCGTGGGGTAACATCACGCTCTGGTGCATTGACAATTCCATTGCAATGAAACTCATACGATATGGTACCTATTACTTAATATGCTTTTCCATTGCTGTTATTTTGTTGTAACACATTTACATGTATGACACTACATTTTGTCTTAGTATTCGATCACTTGGGATTTTTTTTTTTTTCTTCTTTACAATTACACAACTCATACACACTGGATGATAAGGACGTTTTGTTTATCCCATATGTAACTCTGTGTTGTTGTTTTTATCGCACTGCTTTGCTTTATCTTGGCCAGGTCGCAGTTGTAAATGAGAACTTGTTCTCAACTGGCTTACCTGGTTAAATAAAGGTGAAATAAAAAAAATTAAAAAAATGTTTGTTTTTCCCCCCAAATATCTACCCGAGATGTGTGTGTTCCTGTGTGTGTGTGTGTGTGTGTGTGTGTGTGTGTGTGTGTGTGTGTGTGTGTGTGTGTGTGTGTGTGTGTGTGTGTAAAGGACATATTTCGATGGTATTAGCTATTTTTGCTAGGCTGGACAGCTTACACTAATACACATAACTTGTGAGCTGGTGATGTGATCTCTCAACAGTGATACCAAGACCTGGTGAAGTCTCCTCTGAAGCCTTAACCTAAACACATCCTGTCGCTAGAAAATGTTCTATGACATCGACCTTAACGAGACCTACTGTATAACCTCATGTCCATGAGCATTCTGTTCTCACAACATCATTGCGTGTGTGATTTAGCCTACCATTGGCAACAATATTTGCATCGGACAACATCTGATAAGCTAGATTTCTCAACAAGTACTGTAGTGTTTTCTGTATATTTAAGCAATAAGGCACAAGGGGGTGTGGTATTTGGCCAATATACCACGGCTAAGGGATGTTGTTATGCACAACGCAATGTGGAGTGCCTGGATACAGCCCTTAGCCGTGGTATATTGGCCATATACCACAAACCCCAGAGGTGCCTTATTGCTATTATAAACTGGTTACCAATGTAATTAGAACAGTAAAAATAAATGTTTTGTCATACCCGTGGTATACGGTCTGTTATAAACTGGGTGGTTCGAGCTCTGAATGCTGATTGGCCGACAGCTGTGGTATATCAGGGTATGAAAAAACATGTATTTTTACTGCTCTAATTACATTGGTAACCAGATTATAATAGCAATAAGGCACCTCTGGGGTTTGTGGTATATGGCCAATATACCACGGCTAAGGGCTGTATCCAGGCACTCCGCGTTGCGTCGTGCATAAGAACAGCTCTTAGCAGTGGTATATTGGCCATATACCACACCCCCTCGGGCCTTATTGCTTAAATATACCACGGTTTACAGCCAATCAGCATTCAGGGCTCGAACCATACAGTTTATAAATGTGTATTCAAAGCTGGGGCTGAGTTAGGTGTGAGCATGTGAAGTATACTACTGGGAGCAATCTAAAGTAAAGTTAATTACTGTAGACAAATAAATTATTTCTGATATACTGTGGTCACTGTGGTATGCTCTTGTCTTCCCCCATGTGGATCGCCTACTGAATGAACAAAGAAATATGCAGAGGACAGGAAGCAGTTAGTTGCATGAGTTGCATCTTGACAAGAAAATCCTTGACAGGGCATGAGTTGCATCTTGACAAGAAAATCCTTGACAGGGTTATGTGTGAGTTATTGCATGGATAGAGAGAGTTTTATGCATTTTCGGATTTTGGTCATTCTTTGGCCTAAGTAGGTAAATGGGCTCAAAACCACTTTTTTTTCTGGTAGTGTTCTCTATGACAATGGAATAAAACATGCCTAGTTAAATACAGCATGTCTCCTTCCAGGCCCCTACAATAGTACATTCATGTCCACGTTTCCATTTTAAGACAAGGATCTGCAGCATGGTACCGTCAAGACTGATGTTCCTATCTTAACAGGAGACAACCATCGAACAGTAACATAGTTCAAAACAATTTTTTCTATATGCTGTTTTCCCCCTACAGCAGGAAAACAACTAAATTCACATTAAATATGCCTGAATACATCACCTGAACAATCAAATTGTCCGAAACGTTCTTGTCAGCACTGACAGATTAAATCAAAGCAAACTGGTGATAATACCTTGCCTACTGACCCTAAAATGCAGAAGTTCCCTCACAGGTATTCTAGATAAAACACAGCAATGGATCGAAATGAACAAATCTTCTAAAATACCTTGCAATTAATGGAAATGAGATGTTATGATTCAAGGGTGGTGATGGGAAGAGAGAGAAAATAATCTATCCACCCTCTCCACTTCCGGGTATGAAGGCAGACACAAGCTTGTGGTGCTATTCCAATGCTGTGTCTGTGTCTAATGGTGAACTCTGGTTCTCTGCATTGGTTTTCATATCAGGGGATTAGTTGCATCTTGTAGCCTTAATATGGCTTGGAGGTTTAGGGAATGCATGTTGCATAGCACATGCTGCTATAGCAAACCAATTGAGAAACAGAGACAAACAGATACTCTACCACTGCACAACTGGTAAAAGGGATTAGACCAAATCACAAAAGAGAAAATTATAAAATCTAGGATACATTTTGTTGTACTTTTAACACTACACAGCATTCCCAATGTAAGGATGAGGACTGAACACACACAGCATTGAAACTGCTACATAAAACAGTGTCATATATACACAATGTAGGCTGAGTAGCTTGTTCTGGTTAAACCGGCAGGTAGATATAATTGGTTACATTATCGTCACACTGTTATAGGAGAATATACTGCAAAAACGTTGAATCATCTGCATGATCTTTATATTGAACACAGCGACACAAATGTGTCCCTGCATTGGCTCGATGTTACAGTATGTTTGAGTTTGTGTACACAAATAAATGCTGCTCCTGTTTTAGTGTTTAAGTCCTCCTCACCCCAAATACTGGATAAATATAATATAATATACTACTAATATACTAAGATTTTATTTAGTCAAGACTCTGATTGGCTCATCTGTTGGGCAAGGGATGTGTTGCTCGTAAGTCTCTGGCTATGTGCAGTGCGATTGGATGAGACAGTCCGAGCTGCCTCCAATGGCATGTCCTCCTTCTCTAGGATCATTAGATCTCCTCGACGTAATTAGCCGGGTACAGTCCCTCTCGGCCTGTATCCAGGCGACCTCTACACCAGCCTTGGTCATCTTCATCCTCAGTTTTGGTCAGTTCATCACCTGTGAAGAACATATGTACATTACTCCTTAATCAATATGCATTCTATGCTCTTTCCATGACTGAACAACATTATTGTCAATAGTACCTTCATTGTTTTCTTTATCACGTCACTATTAGCAAAGATCAGGCAGGATGTGCATCATGTGGTTATGAAGGCCCTACTAACACCATCTAACATAGGAACATTCAGAAGACAATTGCTAATGACTAGCTGGTGCCTGTAATTGAAGGAAGTGGAATGTGGCCATTATTGACTAACCACTATTATCTTCCTCTGGGAATAGAGGGGCTTCGAAATGGGATGCACAGAGATAGCGGGACATTTCCTGTGACCTCATCTCCACCCCCCTATCAAGTCAGCTTGTCCATGATACACCATGTGATACTGATAGTGTCGGTTACAGAGCTTGGCTTGCACTGTTGGACTCAATTCTTAGGGCCAAGAATAGGGTTTAGCTGCAAATACATTGTAGCCAAATGAAGAGACAGCAAAGATGGTGAAGTGATGTCGTTGCTTACCAGCTTTGAAGGTGAGCTCATCTTGTTCCTGTCCGTCATAATCATACAGAGCACGCACTCGGACCCCGGACGTGGTCCCGGTCCCAGCACCCCCTTTCCCTGCGCTGCCAGAGTCTTCCTCGAAGGAGTTTCCATTTCCACCCCCGTTGGTCTCACCGCCTGAGTAGGCTGCAGGCGCATCGTCATCGGACCACTCAGTGGAGTAGGCCTGGTTCTTTTCATAGCTGCTCACACTGCAATGGAAGAGTTAGGGAAGATACAGGGGTTTGATTGGGAGAATTTTATCAAAAATACAAACATTACTGTACCGTAGACTAGAGCAACTGTTATTAACAGATTTAATGAAATACATAAATAATCAATATCAATCCAGTTAATTATATGGAGACTGCAAAAAAAAAGCATGGCATCATGTTAGATCCCAGGGTGTATGATACCATTTAAATGGTTGGACTAGGGAGGTCCCGGTGTGGCAGTAGCTGGTGTGTGGCAGTAGCTGGTGTGTGTGGCAGTAGCTGATGTGTGTGGCAGTAGCAGGTGTGTGGCAGTAGCATGTGTGTGTGGCAGTAGCAGGTGTGTGGCAGTAGCAGGTGTGTGGCAGTAGCAGGTGTGTGGCAGTAGCTGGTGTGTGGCGGTAGATGGTGTGTGGCAGTAGCTGGTGTATGGCAGTAGCTGGTGTGGCAGTAGCTGGTGTGTGGCAGTAGGAGGTGTGGCAGTAGCTGGTGTGTGGCAGTAGCAAGTGTGTGGCAGTAGCATGTGTGTGGCAGTGGCAGGTGTGTGTGGCAGTAGCAGGTGTGTGGCAGTAGTAGGTGTGCGTGGCAGTAGTAGATGTGTGGCAGTTGCATGTGTGTGGCAGTAGCAGATGTGTGTGGCAGTAGCAGGTGTGCGGCAGTAGCAGGTGTGCGGCAGTAGAAGGTGTGTGGCAGTAGCAGGTGTGTGGCAGTAGCTGGTGTATGGCAGTAGCAGGTGTGGCAGTAGCTGGTGTGTGGCAGTAGCAGGTGTGGCAGTAGCTGGTGTGTGGCAGTAGCAGGTGTGTGGCAGTAGCTGGTGTGTGGCGGTAGATGGTGTGTGGAAGTAGGAGGTGTGTGTGGTAGTAGCAGGTGTGTGGCAGTAGCAGTTGTGTGTGGCAGCGGTGTTTGATCAGTGTTTTGGACCTCTCACCTGCCACGGTCACCAGGTGGTGCCACATGATCAGCGCTGATGCTGATCAATTGAAGGAAGACAGAAAAACAAATGATATGGCATCATGAGAGATATCGATGAACCCTGGCATGTCATTGTGTGTGTGTATGTGTTTGTCAGTAGTAGTTTGACCAGTGGAGTGGTCCTCTCACCTGCCACGGTCTCCAGGTGGAGCCACATGGTCAGTGCTGGGGGTCGGTGGGGCCCCAGCCGGCTTCTGCACCTTCTCCCTCTTAACAACAGCAGCAGTGGCATCTGGGTTGTACTCCTGGAGGGCAGAGCAGAGGATAAATACTTCTGAAAGTCTTTACTGAAGCAGAGCCTCAGATCTGGCCAATGGCCTGTATTAAGAAGTCTTATCAAAAAGCAATACTTGCATCTGGGGGGAAATTAATAAAAAAATACCTGAACCTTTGTTCCATGTTGTTGTAAATAATCCTGAAAAGCAAGTACAGTGAGGGAAAAAAGTATTTGATCCCCTGATGATTTTGTACGTTTGCACACTGACAAAGACATGATCAGTCTATAATTTTAATGGTAGGTTTATTTGAACAGTGAGAGACAGAATAACAACAAAAAAATCCAGAAAAACGCATGTCAAAATTTTTATAAATTGATTAGCATTTTAATGAGGGAAATAAGTATTTGACCCCTCTGCAAAACATGACTTAGTACTTGGTGGCAAAACCCTTGTTGGCAATCAGAGGTCAGACGTTTCTTGTAGTTGGCCACCAGGTTTGCACACATCTCAGGAGGGTTTTGTCCCACTCCTCTTTGCAGATCTTCTCCAAGTCATTAAGGTTTCGAGGCTGACGTTTGGCAACTCAAACGTTCAGCTCCCTCCACAGATTTTCTATGGGATTAAGGTCTGGAGACTGGCTAGGCCACTCCAGGACCTTCATGTGCTTCTTCTTGAGCCACTCCTTTGTTGCCTTGGCCGTGTGTTTTGGGTCATTGTCATGCTGGAATACCCATCCACGACCCATTTTCAATGCCCTGGCTGAGGGAAGGAGATTCTCACCCAAGATTTGACGGTACATGGCCCCGTCCATCGTCCCTTTGATGCGGTGAAGTTGTCCTGTCCCCTTAGCAGAAAAACACCCCCAAAACATAATGTTTCCACCTCCATGTTTGACGGTGGGGATGGTGTTCTTGGGGTTCATAGGCAGCATTCCTCCTCCTCCAAACACAGCGAGTTGAGTTGATGCCAAAGAGCTCGATTTTGGTCTCATCTGACCACAACACTTTCACCCAGTTCTCCTCTGAATCATTCAGATGTTCATTGGCAAACTTCAGACGGCCATGTATATGTGCTTTCTTGAGCAAGGGGACCTTGCAGGCGCTGCAGGATTTCAGTCCTTCACGGCGTAGTGTGTTACCAATTGTTTTCTTGTTGACTATGGTCCCAGCTGCCTTGAGATCATTGACAAGATCCTCCCGTGTAGTTCTGGGCTGATTCCTCACCGTTCTCATGATCATTGCATGGAGCCCCAGGCCGAGGGAGATTGACAGTTATTTTGTGTTTCTTCCATTTGCGAATAATCGCACCAACTGTTGTCACCTTCTCACCAAGCTGCTTGGCGATGGTCTTGTAGCCCATTCCAGCCTTGTGTAGGTCTACAATCCTTGGAGAGCTCTTTGGTCTTGGCCATGGTGGAGAGTTTGGAATCTGATTGATTGATTGCTTCTGTGGACAGGTGTCTTTTATACAGGTAACAAGCTGAGATTAGGAGCACTCCCTTTAAGAGTGTGCTCCTAATCTCAGTTTGTTACCTGTATAAAAGACACCTGGGAGCCAGAAATCTTTCTGATTGAGAGGGGGTCAAATACTTATTTCCCTCATTAAAATGCAAATCAATTTAGAACATTTTTGACATGCGTTTTTCTGTCTCTCACTATTCAAATAAACCTACCATTAAAATTATAGACTGATCATGTCTTTGTCAGTGGGCAAACGTACAAAATCAGCAGGGGATCAAATACTTTTTTCCCTCACTGTATATGGATGAAATGCAGAGTATATAGGCCGCAGTACCTCAAACATTGGCCAGTTCATATGCATGCCTGGGCCATGGTGGTTGCTGAACCACTGCAGGTCCTCCTGTGTGTTGGCACCCAGGATGGTGCGCTCCAGTTCTCTGTATACCGTGCCATAGCTGGGGAGAGGAGGACAGAGAGCACATTGTGACACGCAGAGAGAGAGGGAGCCTGTTTAATTAAGCAATAAGGCCAGACGGACGGGGTTGCACGACACAACGTGGAGTGCCTGGATACAGCCCTTAGCCGTGGTATATTGGTCATATACCACAAACCCCCGAGGTGCCTTATTGCTATATAAACTGGTTACCAACGTAATTAGAGGGATTGAACCACCCAGTTTATAAGAGACATTATAAACTGGGTGGTTCGAGCCCTGAATGCTGATTGGCTGACAGCCGTGGTATATCAGACCGTATACCATGGGTATGCCAAAACATTTCTTTTTACTACTCTAATTACGTTGGTAACCAGTGCCTAAGAACAGCTCTTAGCCATGGTATATTTGCTATATACCACACCTCCACGGGCCTTATTGCTTAAGTAACACAGTAGGGCTGCCAGTGCCAACTGTCCAGCGCTGATGGTGCTGTTTTCCTGGAGGGTTTCTAGTTGTTTATGAAGCTCCAGTACTCAGAACAACAGGGTGGAATGGTTGAAAGACAAGGCCATTCGGTCAATTCATAGCATGAGGTGAAGCTACACAGAACACAGACATACATTTGCATTCAAATTGGCGTAGTGAGTTATGAGAGGGAGTCGCAACAGAATACCTGACAGTCAAGCCTACAAATTAAGACATTTCATGGTGATAATGCCAAGAATTGAGGAGTAAGATGCTATAATGCACGATGCACCACAGCACATAAAAGTTACAAGTGATTTTCCTCCTTTCACTGCTGTCACTGGGACACTTTCTGCATTTGCATGACTGTATTAGAGGGAGCTGAGGCCTGGGTTTCTAGTTATTAGCTTACCATAACCCTGTCTATGGTTGATTTATGTATCACCAATACTGTGGTCCGAAAGGCCTGTGTTAGTACTCCACACCACACTTTAAAAGCCTACACTCATCCTCCATTTTGATCATAAACCAAGACCATGCGTCCAGGAAACAGCTTGAATTAACTCCTTATTCCAATCACCATGGAACCTGGCTTTGTATCACATGCAATTTGATCCACAGTCAAGAATATGACAAGCGTTCACTTTGACATGATACAATATGGCTGAAATGTCATTAACTGCATCATTGGCATAATTGGTGTTGTGACTCTGAAAGACTGAAATGTGTTGAAATTAATCTATTTGAAAGGAACTGTAATGAAAGCAACATCATAAGCACATTGGGAGTAAATTCCCTCTGAATGTAATATTTCAACTAATCCATAGACTCGACTAATAACAAGAAGGAATGTAGACGAGCGCTTACAGAAGAGATCAATACTGTAATGAAGGTATTTTGACTGTATTAGATACACTAATGTAGAAAAATTTTTCAAGGCAGATTTGCTGTTGTGTAGATGACTCCAAGTCGATAATAATTACATATGTATACGTACTGTACCAACTGAAATTGAACACAGACATGTTTTCCCTCTATAACCGTTTCATTCAAAAGCCATGTGGGAGGAAAGGTTGATGGAGGTGATTTAATACAGCAGGATGGACTACAGTATGTATGGGACGACAGAGGATAACACCTGTCATTGACCTTTGGTTCTCAGTGAGATTGAGGTGACGTTTGATGTCCAGCAGGATCTCCTTGAGGAAGGTGAGCCTTTTGACCTCGTGCTGCTGGCACTGGTCAAACACCTGCTCCATGCTCTCCTGGTATGGGGGCGTGACAGCACTCAGCTCAGACAGAGACTTCTCATACTTCTCCTTAGCCTGGGGGATGATAAGGACAACATCAGCTCTGACAGACTTCTCATACTTCTCCTCAGCCTGGGGGATGATAAGGACAACATGAGGAGTTGGACACAGTGTATTTCATCCACAAGAGGTCTTGTAAGAAGAGCTATGCTACTGCAGATAGGTGTAATGTATGATTATAATCAATGATAGGCAGTGCAAACATTTCTGTTTTGTCACTTTTGCATTCCCATTATGACGAGTGCACACAAGTGAGTTTAGGGCTTGCCAGCAGGCATATCTTGCTGCAATGATGTCATTATGACATCATTACAACTAGACATTTTGCACACTAGGTTGAATAGAAAACAACCTGCATCCGTACACCGTGTGTGTATACTGTAAGCACCTTACTCTCCCTGGCCCAGAGTAATGTGCTGTTCTCGTTACCAGGGCTCCGTGAATAGAGTGGGAGATCCACCTTTATGGATTATGTCCTGTCTGATCACCACGGTAATCTGCCACACTGAGTTGTCTTAAATAGTCCTGCATTCATTCTATTTTTCACAGCTTTATTTCACTTGAGCCACTAACAGACTAATGTACTTAGTATACTGCAATAACACACACACTCACCATGGTGTTACTAGCACTATATATATTTTAAAACAGTGGGAATGACACTAGATAACATGGAATTTTCTCCTGTTTGATATGGAGAATGTCAAATGGCATGTTGTAAATTCTGCTCGAAATCTTACCTTTTCATACATTTGTACAGAAAAGGTTGTCATGTCATTTTGTTGCTCTATCTTCCATTTGTCAGACCCTGAGCCTCTCTGTCTCACCTTCTGCACGTCGTGTTTGCACTTGTCTGTTTTCTCGTGGAGTTTCTTCTGCTGGTCTGTTGTGACGGAGGCTTGTGTCTTCCCATCTGCCTCTCGGGTGGCGGCCAGTTTCTCCTCCTTACACGCCATGTGGTATGTTTTCTTTGCAGTCTCCATCTGTGGAAGCACGTACAGAATCTTAGTATCCCTATAGATAAACGGTCTAAATACAAATAAATCTAAGCATGACGATGACTTAATTGAGTTACTTTACTTTCGCAAAGGCAATATTGTTCTCTGATGCTAAGCTTGGATGAGTGATGCAGCAAGAGTCATTATGGTTCACAAAACAGAACTAACACATACAGTGAGGGAAAAAAGTATTTGATCCCCTGCTGATTTTGTACGTTTGCCCACTGACAAAGACATGATCAGTCTATAATTATAATGGTAGGTTTATTTGAACAGTGAGAGACAGAATAACAACAAAAAAATCCAGAAAAACGCATGTTAAAAATGTTATAAATTTATTTGTATTTTAATGAGGGAAATAAGTATTTGACCCCTCTGCAAAACATGACTTAGTACTTGGTGGCAAAACCCTTGTTGGCAATCACAGAGGTCAGACGTTTCTTGTAGTTGGCCACCAGGTTTGCACACATCTCAGGAGGGATTTTGTTCCACTCCTCTTTGCAGATCTTCTCCAAGTCATTAAGGTTTCGAGGCTGACGTTTGGCAACTCGAACCTTCAGCTCCCTCCACAGATATTCTATAGGATTAAGGTCTGGAGACTGGCTAGGCCACTTCAGGACATTAATGCGCTTCTTCTTGAGCCACTCCTTTGTTGCCTTGGCCGTGTGTTTTGGGTCATTGTCATGCTGGAATACCCATCCACGACCCATTTTCAATGCCCTGGCTGAGGGAAGGAGGTTCTCACCCAAGATTTGATGATACATGGCCCCGTCCATCGTCCCTTTGATGCGGTGAAGTTGTCCTGTCCCCTTAGCAGAAAAATACCCCCAAAGCATAATGATTCCACCTCCATGTTTGACGGTGGGGATGGTGTTCTTGGGGTCATAAGCAGCATTCCTCCTCCTCCAAACACGGCGAGTTGAGTTGATGCCAAAGAGCTCGATTTTGGTCTCATCTGACCACAACACTTTCACCCAGTTCTCCTCTGAATCATTCAGATGTTCATTGGGCTGATTCCTCACCATTCTCATGATCATTGCAACTCCACGAGGTGAGATCTTGCATGGAGCCCCAGGCCGAGGGAGACTGACAGTTATGTTGTGTTTCTTCCATTTGCGAATAATCGCACCAACTGTTGTCACCTTCTTACCAAGCTGCTTCGCGATGGTCTTGTAGCCCATTCCAGCCTTGTGTAGGTCTACAATCTTGTCCCTGACATCCTTGGAAAGCTCTGTGGTCTTGGCCATAGTGGAGAGTTTGGAATCTGATTTATTGATTGCTTCTGTGGACAGGTGTCTTTTATACAGGTAACAAACTGAGATTAGGAGCACTCCCTTTAAGAGTGTGCTCCTAATCTCAGCTCCTTACCTGTATAAAAGACACCTGGGAGCCAGAAATCTTTCTGATTGAGAGGGGGTCAAATACTTATTTCCCTCATTAAAATGCAAATCAATTTATAAAATTTTTGACATGCGTTTTTCTGGATTTTTTTGTTGTTATTCTGTCTCTCACTGTTCAAATAAACCTACCATTAAAATTATAGACTGATCATTTCTTTGTCAGTGGGCAAACGTACAAAATCAGCAGGGGATCAAATACTTTTTTCCCTCACTGTATGCCAATAGCTATAGTACCTAGCTGTTTGGCAGAGCAACTTGTATGTTGACTCAGATGTAGGTCAAATGGCCATTGTCTTGAAGATGGCCTCTGTAAACCCTATTAGGTCGGATTCCAGTGGGTCCCAGTCCAAGGACCACTGTGTAGTGTGCGTCACCTATCCTACACCCATGCAGTACCTTTGTAGCCAGACACACTCTTAGAAAAAAAGGAGCTATCTAGAACCTTAAAGGGTTCTTCGGCTGTCCCCATAGAAGAACCATTTGAAGAACCCTTTAAGGTAGAACCCTTTTGGGTTCCATGTAGAACCCTTTCTACAGAGGGTTCTACATGGAACCCAAAAGGGTTCTACCTGGCTCCTATGGGGACAGCCGAAGAACCCTTCTGGAACCCTTTTTCTAAGAGTGCAGACTGATGCACAGCCAAATGAACTAATCAACATATCAACCAGTTGTGGTCTCAGAGGTCAGTCATGAAGACAGTCAAGTGCATCAAATGCCTACCCACATATCAAATATAGTCACTCTATTGTACACATTGTGCCCTGTATTGAATTTAAGAATAAAGTGGTTTTCCTGTTACCAATGCAAGTACACATGGAGGATACAACAGATCCCCTTTCCTAACCCTTCCAGTCAACTTACCTCTTTGAGCTTCTTGGCCCATGGTTTCTGGGCCTTCTTGAAGCCCTCGTCGGCCTCTTTGGCCTCCTTGAAGCCTCCGATCATCTGCTTGTGGTAGGCCTCCTTCTGCCAGTTCTTCACCTTCTCCAGGTCTTCGTTGAGCAGGCCGTTCTTCACCTCCTGGTGCAGCTCACTCACCTTCTCAGCCTCGGTCATCACACCCAGCCACGCCCTCTCCACAGTGCCATACTGGGGTCCTGGGGTTAGAGAATATCACATGGGAACATTCAATCAAACCACATAGGTGGCAGAAAAATATGATGGAAAATATGAATGTGACCAACTGAGTGTCCGCCCTGAGATTGGAAGGTTGGGAGTTTGATCCCTGACCAAGTCATACCAAAGACTGTAAAAATTAGACTCAATGCGCCTCTGCTTGGCACTCAGCATTAAGGAGATAGATTAGGGGTAAGGCACTGCGATAGACTAACATCCTCTCCAGGGGGTGTACTTGTACATCAAGCTGCCTCATGCTACAGAAACAGGAAATAGGCTTCTGCTCCAATGAGCTGTTCCGGCTTGTGCAAGGCTACTTACATTCAATCAAAACATATAGGTGTCAGAAAATATGATTGGTGTCATTTTAAAGAAAACACTCACAATACAGGCTGAGCAGTGAGTTGAATCAAATTAATTTAACATGGGATGAAGACCTCAAAACAGACTGCAATAAAAGCCACCATATGAGTAGCTTCTAATCTACACAGTAAGGTTTGGTTCATTGATTGAACCCCTCCAATCCCGATACTGACCTTTCTCGACCAGCTGTCTCCATCTCTTGGACCAGGCGGTCAGCTGGTCACCATAGGCCTTCTCAATCTTGGCACGTTCCTGAAGGCAGCCCATGAGGTCATTGCAGAGCCGGTGGCCGTCGTCAATCCTCTTGACGGCACGCTTGTAGTTCCCCACCTGAGAATAGTGAGAGGTTTGACTAAAGGTCCAAGTCACATAAAATAGGAAAACACAATTTACATACTGGTATCAATGATTGCGGATGAGGATGCATTCATTTGCACAAAAAAATAAAAAATAATGTGCAGAGCAATATGCCAAATCTCTAAGACCACTAAGATATTTTAAAATGGAAATAACTAATCTCTCTTGAGCGAGTCAAATTAGAAAAGGAGTAAAATGGAGTAAAATACTACAACTCTGACTTAGTGATGAAAATGATATATTATCTACTAATACCTTTGAGTAACATTCATCATTCTCATACTACCTTAAGAGATGCCACCTTAAGAGATGCCACCTTAAAGACGTCATCCAGTGATTTTGGAACTATTCCTGCTGAAATGTGATATCCCAAGAATACTTACAGTAAAGTACACACACTAAAGGGTAAAAAATGTGTTTTGAACAAAATAGTGTTTTTTAGACACCTGCAAATTTCAAGGAGTAGGCCATTCTAGGAGTTGGTCTGATGGTGACTTTATGACATCATCGGCCTCCCCCTTTGCTTGAGGAACAATAGAGAAGCAATAGAGATCAAAAGAGGAAAGGCCCACCCCCCTACTTGTGTCATGTTATGAGGATACCTGGACCACCTTTTGAGATGTGCCTTTTGTTAAGTAAATCAGGTCTTAAATGAGGTGAAAGGGAGACTGGAGTAGGACTTTATTATAGGCAGTACAGAGATCTGAGTCCCCTCCCCCCCAGTGCCTGCAGGTGGCGTGAGCTCATGGTGCATGACGGGGGGGGCCGGGGACGGGACGGGACGGGACGGGGGACGGGGGGACGGGGGGGGGGGACGGGGGGGGTTGGCTCGTGCCTGTGCATGTGTAGTTATGCAATGGCAGCGGCTTTGTGTGAGCGTGTGTGTGCTCTGTGTGTGTGTGTGTGCATGTATGTGTGTTTGTCCCTGTGTGTGCGTGCGCATGTCTGTGTGTGTGCTCGTGCACTGTGACTGCTATAATCCTGTACTCTGCTCTAATGCAGGCAGACAGATTATCAGGGATAGGACACTGACAGGACAGGAATGCAGACAGGAATGCAGCCCACAGTCACAGACTACTCTGTCCACTCAGACAGGATGGGCCCTGGGCTGGGTGGGACAGGTGTGGGGTACAGGGTACAGGCTTTGCATCTGATTGCCACAACAACAACCTGACACACACACACCTGAGTTCTCCACTTCAGGTTATCAACAGTGTCTGTAGCAAATACATCCTCTAAGTAAGATTAAAAACAAATTCTCTTTTGAGCAGAGTTGACAGTATATAGATGATATACAGATTTGTATTTTGTGTGTTTTCTGTCAGATATGTGCTTTTCATATTAAAACAAAACATCTAGCCCTGTGAGAGTCATTATGCTATTCACTATGCTGTGGCCAGGGCTTTCTTGGCCGTATAGAGATCTATACAGGGCAGGTGCATGTGGGCTGAATGGCTCCCTCAGTGCTGCTTCTAACTGAGAGGCTCTGTCTGTCTGTGTCTCAGTGATCCTCCTCCTACGATGACACAAAAGGGTCTCTGTGTACAGTGAATTAATTAGCACTAATTGGATATTTTCTGTGCAACAACAACATCAACGCATTGGAATAACCAACCATATTCCTATGGATCTTTGCAGAAATTAAATTACCTATTGTTTCATGTTTGTTTTCTGTTGTCAAGAACCTTTTCAAACAGAGAGAGGAAGATGGTGGCCAGTCATGCCTATGTTTAATGTCTCCTAAAGAGGGATTGTTGTGTGTGACTTGGCTGATAAAGGCCTATAGGTTCTCCTTCATAGCCCAGAAGAACAGTCTGGATGGTGTTTCTGAAGTACCTCCCAAAAGCTGTCCATAGCGTCGTCAGCAGCAGCAGCAGATTCATCGTAGGACCCCGACATTTTCCTGGTTGTGGCAAAGCAGGCTAAACTCTAAATGTGTCAGCAGCAGAGCTGGCTTCCTCATGCACTGGAAGAGAAAGAAAGAGAAAGAGGAAAAACAGAGGAAAGAGTGAGATTGCATAGATACACAGTACCAGTCAAAAGGTTGGACACACCTACTCATTCATTTTTTATTTTTTGTACTATTTTCTGCATTGTAGAATAATAGTGAAGACATCAAAACTATGCCAGGTCATCTGATGCAGCACTCCACCACTCTCCTTCTTGGTCAAATAGCCCTTACACATCCTGGAGGTGTGTTGGGTCATTGTCCTGTTGAAAAACAAATGATAGTTCCACTTAGCGCAAACCAGATGGGATGGCGTATCACTGCAGAATGCTGTGGTAGCCATGCTGGTTAAGTGTGCCTTGAATTTCTAAATAAATCACTGACAGTGTCACCAGCAAAGCACCCTCACACCATCACACCTCCTCCTCCATGCTTCACGGTGGGAACCACACATGCGGAGATCATCCGTTCACCTACTCTGTGTGTCCATTGCTCGTGTTTCTTGGCCCAAGCAAGTCTCTTCTTCTTATTGGTGTCCTTTAGTAGTGGTTTCTTTGCAGCAATTCGACCATGAAGGCCTGATTCACACAGTCTCCTCTGAACAGGTGATGTTGAGATGTGTCTGCTACTTGAACTCTGTGAAGCATTTATTTGGGCTGCAACTTCTTAGGCTGGTAACTCTAATGAACTTATCCTCTGCAGCAGAGGTAAGTCTGGGTCTTCCTTTCCTGTGGCGGTCCTCATGAGAGCCAGTGTCATCATAGCGCTTGATGGTTTTTGCGACTGCACTTGAAGAAACGTTCAAAGTTCTTGACATTTTCCGGATTGACTGACCTTCATGTCTTAAAGTATTGATGGACTGTCATTTCTCTTTGCTTATTTGAGCTGTTCTTGCCATAATATGGTATTTTACCAAATAGGGCTATCTTCTGTATACCACCCCTACCTTGTCACAACACAACTGATTGGCTCAAACGCATTAAGAAGGAAAGAAATTCCACAAATTAACTTTTAACAAGGCACACCTGTTAATTGAAATGCATTCCAGGTGATTACCTCATGAATCTGGTTGAGAGAATGTCAAGAGTGTGCAAAGCTGTCATCAAAGCAAAGGGTGGCTACTTTGAAGAATCTCAAATATAAAATATATTTTGATTTGTTTAACACTTTTCCATATGTGTCATTTCATAGTTTTAATATCTTCACTATTATTCTACAATGTAGAAAATAGTAAAAATAAAGAAAAACCCTGGAATGAGTAGGTGTGTCCAAACTTTTGACTGGTATTGTAAATATATAGAAATGTAGAAAATACAATACAGTAGAACATCCTACACTCTTAGAAAAAAAGGTGCTATCTAGAACCTAAAACTGTTCTTCGGCTGTCCTCCTAGGAGAACCATTTGAAGAACCCTTTTTGGTTCCAGGTAGAACCCTTTTTGGTTCCATGTAAAACCCTTTCCACAGAGGGTTCAACATGGAACCCAAAATAGTTATACCTGTAACCAAAAAGGGTTCTCCTATGGGGACAGCCAAATAACCCTTTTGGAACCCTTTTTTCTAAGAGTGTACAACATTCATAATTTACGACATGATGTGATATGATATACAATACTTGGGCTCTCTATGGTATTCAGAAACCATATGTTTTCCATAGAACTCAATGAGCAGCACTGATGGAAGGCTTCCTTTGGAGGCTCTGAGACAGCTCTAATAACGAGGTAAAAATAGTATTCTGTCCCCATGCATACTGCTCCCTGGCCCCAGGGAACAGAAAGGCCATCTTCCACATGCCTGTCCCAGAAACCAGAGCACAGACACCACAGGGCACACAGCATCACTGTCATCATGGCGTTATGACCCTGCATTGTACTGTATAGTAGCTCAGCATAAAGTGTCCCTCTCCCCTGACATACACACACACACACACACACACACACGCACACCTGGGTTTCCGTTTGGAAAATGTGACAACGTGACCGGGAAGATTAATTTACCTGCCATTTGAGAAATTTACCGGACCCATATGCATTGGACGCATAACCCATTAGTTCGTCCACCCACAGTGCTCAGAATGACAGAAATCACATTTAGTTTATGGTAATACTTCTTAACAGAACATGCAACTCATGTAATGAAGCAGCCAATAAAACGTAGAAAGAGGGGGAATATAAAGATGCAACAACTAGGATGGGTTGCTAATATAACTAGGATTGTGCCTTTGGCTTCTGGACAACGAAAGAAAGATGATATTAAAACCAATAGAACAGAAGATCAATGGCATAGTGGTGGGTCCAATAGGGAAGTAAATGGAAAAAAAAGATTTGCCAAAATTATATAATTACTCCTGTCTATACAGAAAGAAATAAAATCATTCAAAATACTTCACCAGAAAGCAAGACTTAGCCACGGAGGAATCTACGATCATTAGCTTATTTAAAAAAAAAAAATAGCTGTGGATTGTTTCAAATCACTCGTAGGCCTATGCCTATTTGGAAACCCGCAATTTGGGCAGCGCGCGTGGCAATAGGCCTAGCTGATTATTTAGTTGCGGCTGTCAGTGAAAAGCATTTAAAATATGTGTGAAGATAATGTGTCTTGAGTATAACTTAAAATGTTGAGACAAGAAGGGGAGGTGTGTGTGGCAAAGATACAGGCGAGTCTCTCTCCAGAATGGCTCAGCTGTCTCTCGCCAATTCTTGCTCATTCATTGTGAATTGTGAATTGTTTGCCGTTTGATAAAAAAATATATAAATTCCCCATTACATATGTCACCAGTAGTAAATCTACCGTTAATCCCCGTCATTTGGTTTCATACATTTATGTTAATGCATGTATTAATTACATTCATTTACCGTTATCATTCTCGGAGTGGAAACGTAGTTTGCAGAGCTCGCAACCTGCTACACTTGTGAGAAACAAGTTTTGGTTTATTTCATAACCATCATTTACGAGATTAGTCCTTTTTTCATTGTTTTTTGTTTGGAGTGCTCCATGTGAGCAATGAGCATGTGTCTGGCTTCTTTTTCCTGATAATTTTGAGGGAGTGCACCCACCTGAGCACGCATTGGAGGACCTGGCCTGCTGTGTGGAAATGTAGGAAATGTTTAGTTTTTTAACCTCAATTGCAAATGATAACATATTAAAACCATAGTTCCTTACAGTAAGCTATTTGAAAATCTCCCCCTCAATAATCACCAATCCTCGGTGTGATAGAGCAATGGAAGTTATAGGCCTACTGCCGCATTTGCCTATAGGCTATGAGTTCCATGGGCTCATTTCTTTAGCCGCCAATGGATCACGGTGTATCAATGTGTCCATATGGCAAAGGCTAGTGATCTCGCATTAGTTGAATTTTAACTTTAGATTTTTATCATTTTAATTCAGATTTGTATGATTAACCACATTTTACATTTGTAATTTAGCAGACACTCTTATCCAGAGTGACTTACAATAGTGAGAGCATTCATTTAACCTGTTGCCTGCACTTGAACAATGAATGGAAGGCATGCTTCAATTACCAGTTGAGAAATAAAAATAGTAGCTCTTTTTAATTGTGCACCAAAACAGTTTTTAACACTGGATTGCATTTAGAATTGTGGCGCAATGAATGGGTTTATAAAATCACAGGTTTTACTCCAGCAGCAACCAGCTGAGGAGCAGCAGGAGAAATCCCGCTCAAAATAGCTCTGTATGTTGTGGCGTGTGATAGTTATGTTGGATAAATAAGATACATGATGCTAATTTAATTCCAACAAATTATGCAAATTAACCTGTAGACTGATAAGCATGACGGCCAAATGTATTTCCATCGACTGGTATTTCCATCAATGAATAAAAAGCATTATTTATCTTTTTTTTCTTTCTGTCATTCTGGCCAGCAACAGTGTTACTTACCGCCTTTTCAAAAAATATACAGTGGGGAGAACAAGTATTTGATACACTGCCGATTTTGCAGGTTTTCCTACTTACAAAGCATGTAGAGGTCTGTAATTTTTATCATAGGTACACTTCAACTGTGAGAGACGGAATCTAAAACAAAAATCCAGAAAATCACATTGTATGATTTTTAAGTAATTAATTTGCATTTTATTGCATGACATAAGTATTTGATCACCTACCAACCAGTAAGAATTCCGGCTCTCACAGACCTGTTAGTTTTTCTTTAAGAAGCCCTCCTGTTCTCCACTCATTACCTGTATTAACTGCACCTGTTTGAACTCGTTACCTGTATAAAAGACACCTGTCCACACACTCAATCAAACAGACTCCAACCTCTCCACAATGGCCAAGACCAGAGAGCTGTGTAAGGACATCAGGGATAAAATTGTAGACCTGCACAAGGCTGGGTGGGCTACAGGACAATAGGCAAGCAGCTTGGTGAGAAGGCAACAACTGTTGGCGCAATTATTAGAAAATGGAAGAAGTTCAAGATGACGGTCAATCACCCTTGGTCTGGGGCTCTATGCAAGATCTCACCTCGTGGGGCATCAATGATCATGAGGAAGGTGAGGGATCATCCCAGAACTACACGGCAGGACCTGGTCAATGACCTGAAGAGAGCTGGGACCACAGTCTCAAAGAAAACCATTAGTAACACACTACGCCTTCATGGATTAAAATCCTGCAGCGCACGCAAGGTCCCCCTGCTCAAGCCAGCGCATGTCCCGTCTGAAGTTTGCCAATGACCATCTGGATGATCCAGAGGAGGAATGGGAGAAGGTCATGTGGTCTGATGAGACAAAAATATAGCTTTTTCGTCTAAACTCCACTCGCCGTGTTTGGAGGAAGAAGAAGGATGAGTACAACCCCAAGAACACCATCCCAACCGTGAAGCATGGAGGTGGAAACATCATTCTTTGGGGATGCTTTTCTGCAAAGGGGACAGGACGACTGCACCGTATTGAGGGGAGGATGGATGGGGCCATGTATCGCGAGATCTTGGCCAACA